CCCAGGACATGACAGAGTCCACATGTTGATGAAAACGTGCATTAATATTCAAGTGTTTATCATGCGCCAGGCGCTGTTCTAAGGGCTACTTTATGTCTTTTAACCTATTTAATTCTTGCCCAAATTCACGTAGTAAGTAGCAATCCGGCTAATTCCAGAGCCTATGCTTTTAACTACTACCAGAGTGCCTGCACTGAGTGATGTGTCCAAGATCAATAGCTAGTAAGTAGTAAAGCCATTTCTAGAGGATTACAGCTTAAGCCTCCTGACTCCTGGCTCATTGCTTTTCCCAACACACAGTTCTCAATGGCTCTTACTTCTACAGGGATTCAGCCATTTCTGTGCATTGCCACTTCTACAATATAATTCCTAAAAACAGCTTGGGGAAAGCTGCCCCTCGATCCTTACCAGAGGAGTTGTAGCTTGCACATCCATATACAGAGGTCGCAGCACTGATTCCGCCTCCGGAGCAGTGGCTGCATCTGAGGGAACAGCAGACTGGGGAGCATGGTCTACAACTGACAAAAAATACAACGGAGTGGCCACGTGAGAGGATGCAACTCTGCACACAGGGCATCCAAGACAGCAGAAGGTAAAAGCTGGATGGAGGTGAGATAAATTTAAGGGGTGCTGAGGTCGAATCTCAGTGGAAAAGGAAACAAAACATCAGAAAACTTGAGCCAACTGTAAAAAGAGGTAAGGGAGAGAGACAGGGTTCTTGGAGGGGGGTGCTGAGACAACATTCAAATTGCATAGTTGAGAGTGAGGAGACCTCTGAAAGGGCAAAGCCACTGAGAAGGAATGTGGAGACGGTATGTAAGATCTCCTTCAAAGGTTACTGGCTGGACGACTGGCATCTCTAAAATTTGGCCAGGAAAGGTCCGAAGGCCGAGCATCAAGGGCTCTGAGGGCCTGCAGGGAAGGATCTGAAGTGCGGGAGGGGGGCGCGCGGCGAAGTCAACCGTTCGCAGGGCCGGCATGAGAAAGTTTGAGGGGTGCAGCCAAGAGGAAGGGTCAGAGGGTCTGGGTAGCGGGCGGAAGAGGGAGGCTCCTGAATATGCAGGTGCGTCCCCACGCCCAGGGGAGAGATCCTCGCCTCCGGGGAAGTGGCAGCGAGCGAGCCCCGGAGCGTACCGCGCAGGCGCAGCCCCCGAGTGGGTGCCTTCGCCCTCGGCCACAGAGCGGCGGGGTCGGCCGCGGCCACCAGCCTCCAAGAGGTTCTCAGTAGCATCATCTCGGTGGCAGCCCTGCGCCCGAAGCGGCTGCCGTCCCCAGCTACAGGCCCCCGGAAGTACTACTCCGCGCCCCGGAAGCGGTTCCTCTGGCCGCGAGTGCGCTCCGCCTTGCGTTCCGTGTGAGACGTGGAGCTGAGCGACCAAGGCCGCGAGCAAGGTAAGGTGGGGGCACCGTGGCGCGGGGACTCGAACGCTCAGCGGGTGATGGAGCCGGGCTACACCCTTCTTTTCCTTCCCGGATTTCCCCGAACCCTCCGGCCTGCTCCCTGCCCCACCTCCTACGCCCCCTGCCCGACTCGGGCTGGCGGCTAGGCCCACACTCCCCAAGCCTTCGAACTCCGCAGATGCCGGTGGCCGTGGGCCCCTATGGACAGTCACAGCCAAGCTGCTTCGACCGCGTGAAGATGGGCTTTGTGATGGGTTGCGCCGTGGGCATGGCAGCCGGGGCGCTCTTCGGCACCTTTTCCTGTCTCAGGTGAGGGGCATGGGCCGTGATCTCTGGGCGGGACTACCGGACTTTCCCGCCCCACTCGGCCTGCCGCTGGAATAGAGCCTACTTCTTTCCAATTCCCTCGCTGCCCTATAACGAGCGAGACTGATTTCCTAACCACCTTCAGTCTGGGAGGACAGGTTGGAAGCCTGAATGGTTGAGAATATGAGCTCTGACTCAAACCACTCAATGGCCCCTTACTCATTTTGTAACCTTAGGCAAGTTGGAGCCTGGGTTTCAAGTGTAAAATGAGGTCAGTAACCTCTACATCATATAGAGTTATAAGGCTCAAATCAGAGCACACTTAGCACACAATCTGGCACGTGTTAAGTGCTCAATAAAAGGCTGTTCTTACCGTCTTCCTGCTGTTATATTTATTTCCAATTGCGCATAGCGAAACAAACGATTAAATTTACTGGGAACAGGATGTAGAAATTAAGCAGATAAACTCTACACCCTGTCATTTCCACACATAAAAGAGACTATTCCCATTTTTCCAGATTGTAAATTATCATTTACTGAGCACTTACTGTCAGTCACGGTGCTAAATGCCCTGTTATCACGACAGGGCTGTGAATGCTGTGCTCCTCATTTTACACTTGACACAGCCTGTAAATTGCATTCTTAGTTCTTGAACCCACGTCTGACATCCCTATCATTGTTTTAACACTAGGAAACCGTCTAAAAGACAGATGTCTTACTGGATCATAAACCAGCACAAAAAAATGGTTTCCCTGTCCATGTACTTTATACTGCTTCTGTTGCCTCCCACAAACAGAAGTCAGTTGATACATTCATCAGAATCCACCTAGAGACCCTAACGGACCCTTTTCCTTGGCATTACACAACCCATATGGGAAGAGAAAATATCCTGCCAGACTTCAGCAGTGCCCATTATAAACACAAATTGTAAAAGGGCAGTTAATGTTCCCTGCATTTTTGTTCCCAATTGGCCCCATCTTGGTTTCCTCCTCTCAGGATCGGAATGCGGGGTCGGGAGCTGATGGGCGGCATCGGGAAAACCATGATGCAGAGTGGCGGCACCTTTGGCACATTCATGGCCATTGGGATGGGCATCCGGTGCTAATCAGAGCAGTGGTTGCCCACAACATCCACCCCCTCCCATCATTCCCAGCCCATGTACTATAATAAAACAAGTCTGAGTATTCTGAGTTTCTGTTAGAAGCATTTTTTCTCTCAGCCTGTTACCCAGCTCGGTTAGAGATCCTTGCAGGTGAGCTAGTGAGGTTTGGTGTCTTGTTTCACAAGACCTTTCTGTTAATCCAAAGTTGGGGGGACTTCCCTGGTGGTCCAGTGGCTAAGACTAGGTGCTCCCAATGCAGGGGACCCGGGTTTGATCCCTGCTCAGGGAACTAGATCCCACATGCCACAACGAAGACCCAGCGCAGCCATAAGTACTTTTTAAAAAAAGTTTAGAATGATTCTGCATACCTGGGACTTTTCATAGATTCTAATAAATCCTTATTATTCAACCCTTTAAGGTTGATGCTATTAGTTTTTCACCTTTAAAATGTTAAGTCTAGATTTTCCTTAAGGTCACAAGGTTAGCTATTACATTGTTCACCTAAAAATTGTCCTTCAGATATGACTTGATCAGAAAAAAGAACAAATTCAAACCAACTAACCTCTCAGCTTCATGAATCCCAGATAATTTTCTAACCAGCCACCAGTGAAGATGTAAACTTTACCAACTGACCCCCCCCATTCTATTAATTGGCTTAAGGTAGTTTCGTTTCCCTCACCTGTACAAGCAACATATTCCTTGATATTGCCGAGTTCCCCTCAAATATTTCTCAATCATTAAGAAGATGGTAATAAATGTTATAATAAACTACACTGGAATATTTGGGGGGCATAAAGACACTCAGATCTAACTGCAATCAAGGACACTCCCAGAAATTACAGCACCTAAAAAATTCACAACCAAATTGGATGTTGTCTCAGGAATTGATTAAAGGATCTCACTCCGAATAGCCATTTGAGCTATCTTCTATTTGACTGAACTCTTTTAACAAATTTGCTTTGAACATCATTTACAACCCAAATTTCTTTTAGCTAGCTTTGGCTATGTTGGGTCTCCGTTGCTGTGCACGGGCTTTCTCTAGTTGCGGTGAGCAAGGGCTACTCTTGCACGGGTTTCTCATTGTCGTATCTTCTCTGGTGGGGCACAGGCTTCAGTAGTTGTGGCGCAGTGGTTTAGTTGCTCTGCAGCATGTGGGATCTTCCTGGACCAGGGCTCGAACCTGTGTCCCCTGCATATTGGCAAGCGGATTCGTAACCATTGCGCCACCAGGGAAGCCCTACAACCCAAATTTCATTCTTTGGTGGTGGGCAAATTTTTGCCACGTCTTAACAGATGAGATTAAATAACATCTGAAGGCACCTTTGCTGGCCCAGTTCCCTAGAAAGGAATGACAGAACAAACCTGATAGTAACTTGATCCAAGAATACATTTTTAATTACTAGGAGATAATCTGGAAAGAAAAAAGTTGGCATTATGTATGTCTCTGCCACCCAATAACACTGCTGCTTGGTGTTCAAAAATAAAGTTGAATCTTGAAATTTTTCTTCAGGTTAAATAACTGAAGCAAGTAAGGGAATTACAAACATCCCTCAAAAGGGTTGGTAGAAAACTGTGATGCCTCTAAATTCAAACTGAGTTATCTTGATATCTGAATAAACCTGTAATACTTATGATTCAGCCCTAACAAATCAATACAGTAGTAACAGAAATTCAGGCAGGTGAGGAAATCAGTATTGGAAGGAGCAATTAGCAGCAACATCCCCTACTCAAAAGATTCAACCTAGACACAAAAACTTGAAGCAGAGTTCAGAGTACAAATCATGAAGGGTTGCTGCCCAAGTAAAGTTAAAGCTCAAAAATGCAGTTAAATCAATTTGGGAAACCAGTTTGAACTTATACCATTTTCTCCAGTATTTGCTTTTAAATAACAAGGCATTTTTTTCCCCCACAAATACGTCCAGAAAACGTAGGAGAGACTTAAGGATGCCCAGGTTTGAGGCCTGGTCAAATCAGTTTGGTTTTCTTTTGGTAAGTTCCTCAGTTTTGATATAATACCCTAAATAAGTAGTACGGTAGTAAGACTGATACAGAGGAATGTAGAGGGACAACTTGAGGGCAACAGTTTCACTAAGAATTTTCCCAAAGAGGCAACTAAAAAGTCAAAGAAACTAATATTCTATTTCCAAGTTTCTGTGACTTTAAAACATTTCAAAAATGAAGATTTCTTGTGGCCTTTTTAAGAGAATTTTATTTGAGTGGTTCTTACAAAGATTGTTGCAATATGAAAGTCATTTGTTTGATAGAAATATCAAGCTGTCTTGTCAAACACACTGAAGTAACCCAAAAATATATTTCAGAGCTCACAGAGCTTAAAAAGAGCAAAGATTATATGCAACCAGACAAAACCTATTTCTGCATTTCCTATTTCTTGCTCAGACTGCTTTGCTTACCAGACTGTCACTAAACATCTTGAGGAAATGCAGGGATCATTTTGTTTGGAATCTTAGACACACCCGAACACATAATATTTACAAAGAAACTTTTACAGATACATTAATTGAAAAGATACCATCCAGAAATGTAATTTTGAAATCTCCTTTTCTTGCCAGTTGATCAGAATGCAAGATGAGATGTTAATCAAACAGCCCTTTTAGCTGTCTTGAATTTCCATAAACTATGTATTCCAGAAACCTCTGCTAAACCATTAACCAAATATCAACATTAGTGAAATGTAACTGCTGTGTAAAAAGTTAGGCTTCTGAAACATTAAAAACATCATTACATCCCTGTCTGCCTTTTTATGTTAAGCACATTTGTTCCCCTAGAGCTATTCCTATAGATCCTTAATGTAATTTTCTACATGTACATTTAAAAGGCAGAACAAGAGAACAGCTTTGTATACAGTGGGATTTGCTAGTTAGGGAGAATGAGCACACTGCATTCCTGTTAACATTTTTATTTTTTCAAGGTAACAGGAACTGTATACAAATGACAGCAGACCCTTGCCTCTTTATTTTTATCTAAATAAAAGATAACTCAAGATGAATTCTCAAGAAAGAAAAAAAGCTATGTACATAAGGGACTATATTTTCCTTCATCGTCTACTTGGAACCAGTAGTTGTGTTGCTGTCATGGAATCAGGAAAGAGGTTGTGGTAAGTTGGAAGAGGTACATACGCTGCTGTTATCATTTTACCTGTTGAAAGAAACACATATGGTCGTTTAGCTTCTTCACTTAGATTAGACCATTAAAAACAATCACTCAGAAAAAAGGTCAAACTCACCAGCAAACCACCTGCCATGCAATGCATTGACAGCAGCAATGGCTGCAGCAATTGATGGGCACTTCACATACACATTGCCCTAAAATACAACAAAAAAGGTTAAAGGTGTGATATACAACATGGATTCCAATAGGTTTATTCAAGTTACCTATAGAAAAAAACTGCTCTATAACTTTTCCACTAGCTAATATATATAACCTAGAAATTCACTGAAAATACTTCATCATCCCCAAAACTGGCCTTGTTACTATCTTCTATGATGTGAAAGCTGCTGAAGAATGAAATCAAGGTGCCAGAATTTCATGGCAACCTTTGAACACTAACCAGCAACAATAATGCTACATGATGACCTGAACTATTTTAAAAGTGTCTTTATTTCGTAGGGGGTGTATTTAGTCAGTATGCTAAAGCTTCTCTCAGGAGAAAACAAAAAACCCCAACACGCTCTAAGGAAAAACAGTGATCATAATATGCCCCAAGTGTGTGAAAATTAAGACACAAGAAAGTAACAAAATACCTGAGCTGAATTTTTGTCAACATAAATATGAATAACTCCTCCATGTTTATTACATTCTTCAATCACATCATCTTTAATCTCTGTATCCCATCCAACTTCTTCTTCTCTGTAACAAAGTATTAAATCTATGAGACACTACTCAAACTTATAAAATGATACACATATATTCCAATCTGTCTAAAAAATCTTAAGTGTGTTATTTTAAAAATCATTTGCTTAACATTTAAGTGGTTAATTGACATCTTTCAAAGATACTTATACCAAGTTTATCACCATTTCATAGGACTAAGAAAAGTATATTTGTATACTGGTGATACAAATAAATACTGATACAAACTTCACAGAAAACTACTAGATATAAATGGAAAACATAAAATCTACAAAGTTTTCAAATGAATTCCAATCTTACAAACACATTCAAGGGAAATAATTCATAATGTGCAGAAAAATAATTATACTAAAAGGATCAAAATTGTGGCAGTGTTTGAACTATGAAATATGTTGAAAACATGCTAAATGTTAACTTAGACAAGTTAAACATTAAAGATTTCACAGCATACCCTTTTGAACTTGACCAAAGTATATTACTTACGTTTGAGGGTTAAACATGTTAGAGAGTTGGAAACACTGTGTTGCAAGAGGTTGAACAGAGGCAGCTGCAGCTAATGCTGAAGCTAAAAAAAAAAAGAGAAAGGGAGAAATCAGTTTCATGGAAAATGCATCAGAATATCCCTATGAATAAAACAAAGCCCAATATAACCACTGGACCCACAGGGTGAAACTAGGGTAGTCAGTCACTTCACTAATTCACCATATTCAATAATGCTATCAAACATCAGTGTATATAACAATACCCCATTTTAGCTGCCAGAAAGCTAAGGCAACTTAGTATTTGAGACAGCTGATCCTAAGTTGGGACTTTTGTTTTTAGAAGGGAAGTTAAACCTTAAATGTAGTGAAAATTCATTCAATTAGACAAATATCAATAATACAAACAAGAAAATAAAAACAAGACTGATTTCGTAGGACTGCTGGAGTTAATACCCTGAGAAGCAGGGGATGATGCAAATACAATATTAAAATGCCAACTAAATCTATACCATGTTTTATTTCTTATGTTTCTGCCTATGAATATATAGTTACATATTTTCTTTTAAATATATAAACATTATAAAAGGATGAAGTTTTAAAAATAATATACATAAAACCATCCAAGTATTTAAGATTTAACATCTTAGGACTGTAAAACCTACAACATCAAATTAATATTTTTTAAATGATTAGGTCTGTTCTAGCAGGAGAAAACACTAAAAAGAGTAATATGTATCTATAATAGTCATTGTTAAAAATAAAAAACTACTGGACACTAATACTTAGGAGCAAATTTAAACCAATGTTGGTTTTAAGTTTGAAGTGCATTTTCCAAGACAGTTGCTCCATTGCTTTTATGTGACTTAGAAAACATTACCAGTAGCTGTTACAGAACTCACCGTAATCATAATATTTGACCAAATTTCATTCCAATACATAACAATAATAAACAAAGCTATGGATAAAACAGTGCATTAGAAATTATGGTAATTAAAATGAACAATAACCTGAGTAAGTATAAGAAACATTCCACTGAATAAAAACTAGGGCTGTGCATGAAATACATCATAAAAAAGATAGTTTCTGATAGAGTAACAAGTACTTTTTGCTTCTTTATAGTTTACTTCAATAAACAAGTATTTGTCTTTCATAAAACTTTGTATGAAAATAAAAATGCTAAGATAACTAACGTCAAATTCTACTGAAGAAAGTTAAAGATGCAAGTGTGCTTATATTACAATAAAAAAATGAAGCCCACTGTGTACCTTTATCATAAACAAATGGAATGAAGTATGCTTGGAAAAAACACTAGAAGGTCACTGTATGCTATGAATACTGAAAAATATTAGAAAATATATCATGGAAATATTCCAGCTCAACCTAGATGAATGCAGAACACAATGAATTCAGCATAGAAATATAACTAAGAGGAAAATCCACCAGTTCTACTTTTAAAAATCTGTTAGGAAAAAAAAAAGATTGAGTACAATTGTCTCTTTTGCTGAAAAAATTAAGATACACATTTAATTCCTGACTATCAAGGAACAAGAAAAGACCTTTTTCATACAGAATCATTTACCTAAACGACTTTAAGTATATCCTATAAGATACCAAATTACTGCAACAAAATGCTATATTAAGTGGCAGAGATTTACTTGATAATTGAAAACTAAGAAAATAGCCTATTTTATAAATTGTTTCACAATCTCTGAAATCTGCATGCAATTTAGTTCTGGATAATCTCATTGCTTGGTACTGCTTACACAAATCACTGGAGTTAGTTTTTCCTAACCTTATATTAAGTTCACAGACTCCATGTTCTAAAAGATTTGTCTACCAAAATGACAAGTTTCATTTTCTGACATCTATATAAAATGTACAATCAGAACACAAAGATAGGCATACAAAGTTGAAAATAATTCTAAGCAAGCTATAGCAAAAAAAGCATGGACATTTATCATCTTTATTCATGTAATTGTAATGACTTGGATTAGGCCTTCTGGCTTACTGTTAATGACACTGTATGTCATTCTGACAAAACTGGGCCCAAAATACAAACTACAGTAATAATTATGATAAAATATATATACACAACTATGTCCTGCTACATTAACATCCACTTCAAAAACAAATAAAAAACTCAACTCACCTTCAGTCTGTTGGGAAAGTCTTGTTTGCAAATCTATAACAAAAGAGAATTCTACAGCTCAGTGCAGGAACAATGAAGAGCCTCAACTAACAGGGTAAATGTCAGGAAAGCATTAATAAAAGAGGACTATGGTAGCAGGGTTTATCAAAATGAACTTATAGTAAAACCTGGCAGCCAAACCTCCTTCCCCATTCCTCATTGACAAGGCTGTGGGGCCTTTTTCTTTCCTCCTATCCTAGGAAACTTATGCCTCTCTATTCCTATTCCTAGAACTCTTCCACATCTCAAAGGCATTCCACTATACTACTCTTCACATGGGAATAATGGGAAATGGGGAAAGGGAAGCACACCGGTCAGAAAAATGCATGAAAACCCTGATCTTGAGAATTCAATTCCAAGTACTTGGGATATTCAACTATTTATTGTTCTATCAGTGTCAGTAAGCATTTTAAACTTTAGAAGTTTATGGTGAAAGAGTAAATACTGCAACAGTACACGTCAAACACTTTCAATAATCTACCGATTAAGTAGTGAAAAACCCCATTCTAACCATATGTATATATTATTTAAGTTCTTTTAAGTTGTCATGTCCAGCCCAGAAGGTGGTAGTTTTATTAGGTCTGATTTCCTGGCCTATTCTGGAAATTTAATGAGGCAGGAATGAAATCTCATCAGATTTACTATATGTAGTACAAGAAAAATCTAACCATCTAGTCTGTATTAAAAATAAACAGAATGGTGATTTCTACCAATATATTTTCTCATATAATCATTAAAATTCTACATGAGAAGGCCAATTAAGAGAAAGCTGCCATCAAGTGAAAGCAGCAGCAAGTGTGAAACGTGAAGAAAATGTCACAGTATCCAAAGGTATCTTGCAGTTTAAAAGTTATAGATATATATACAACATAGAAATTGTTTGAATTCAGTAACCTAATTTTCAGTAACACGTGATTCAACTGCAATACTTTATTACCATTTGGGCTTCTTGTTGCGTATAGAAAATGATCATAAAACATAGGCAAAAATGAAAAGGGATCTGCAGCCCAAGTCACATGGGGATGTAAGAATACCTGGGTCCTAGGTGCTCAAAACTGGCATCCCAGGGAGCTGAAGAAATGTAACTGGTGTATACTGAAGGAACTTGAAGATATGACCATAGGAACATTGTCAATAAACTTTAAATTATAAAGCAATTTGTCTTTTTTTCCCTAAAATGGGAAAAAATGTATAGGTATCAGAAATCCATGCTATATTAAGTGTATATAAATCAAAATTTCAAAAATGGTTCTTCAGGTCATTTGTAACAAGTTAGGAAACAAAGCATGGGTTTCATACAGATAAGAACTAACTTATCTTAGAAAAGACCCGTTAAACTTCCAGAATAAAGACATGTGGATATAGTGATAGGCCACTCTTGGTTTCAAAAAACAACTTTTAAGAACTTCGGCAACAAGGGCCTCAAATATTGACATCAACACCAGTGATTCATCTTATTTTAACAAGGAATGTGTAAGGTTTTAACGACAGAAGAAAAATACCCAGTTATGTAAATATTTACCTTAAAATAGAGTGCTGATTAGTAATTCAGTAGTAATAGCAATTTACTGGAAGTTTTAAGAAAACAGTACGAAACTTTAAAATCATCTATCAACACTAAAAAGGGGGAATATAACAAATAATTAACTAAATGGCTATTTTAAGCAATCCATGGACATTTAGAATTTTCAGCCTTAATATAAACTACCCAGTTAAGTGTGCCCAGGGAAGTACAGTCATTCTTCATTCATCGTAAGAGAAATAATGGCTTAGGGAAGTAATAATGTCTAACACTGAAAAACTATAGGCGAAGATATTGTTTACAAACCAAATCAACACATTTGATACAGCAGCCAGGATATAACAGAAGATTGTTTAGAAATGAATCATATGTATTTGTATTAAATCCCTAAAGGCACCAGCCTCTAGTGAAATATCTAGAATATGGTAAACACTCTAGCATTTTTCTAAATTATTGAAAAAATGACCTGAACAATGGGAAGCAACACACGGATACAGTTTTCAGGTAAAATAGTTAACTGTCAAACCAGAGACTAGGATATATTTCTGAAGTGATGGGTTTCCTTTAGTATCTTCAATTACAGTACGTGACATTCTATGACTACGTGTTCACTGCAAAGAAATTAAATGTCTAATACTTGTTTAAATCAAAACAATAATTTATTCATAAATACAGAAATGCATTAATAGTTATAACTCTCCTTCTCATATGAATACACTAACATGATTGTCAGTAATTTTAAAGAACTACCTATCAGATTTCAAAATATATCGGTTTGAAAGGAAGCACAAGACCCTAAAGTACTCACAAACTTTCGAATAGTCACTAAAAAAAGGAAAACACAGAAGTGCCCCCTATAAAGAATGCAGATGCAGAAACGATCCTCTCTATTAATGGCTTTTCAATTGAAAAGGAAATCATGAAGCAACCACACAGAACTTTTTATATATTCAGATGCAGTACCATGATCTTATATTGCCATACTTTCTTGGGTTAGTGTTTCTTGTCATCTAAAGTACAAACTACAAACGGTTCTTCTCAGATATTCTAAAAGCAAGACTTCAACATCTCAAAATTTAATACTATCCTAGCTCATAGATTTGGGTTAATTTCAAGTACCTGAGCCACAAAAGAGAAGAAAACAATGTGATTCATAAACTAAACCCATTGTTACATAATCGTAAGAAACTATCAATTCTCTCCCTCTTTTCCTCACCTCTCCAGGCACTTCATTCTATAACTCAAAATCTCAAATTACAGTTGACCTTTGAACAACTTGGGGATTAGGGACACCAACCATCTGAGCAGTTGAAAACCCATATGTAACTTATAGTAGACCCTCTATATCCTTAGTCCTTCCAAATTCATGGATTTAACCATGTGGTATTTACAACTGAAAAAAATCCATGTGTAAGTAAAACCCTTGCAGTTCAAACGCATGTTGTTCAAGGATCAACTGTAGTATGTTCTAATTAGGAAAGCAGTATTCTCTGCACTCTTAACACTGTAATTATTTTAAATAAAGCTTGATTCAAAGGCCTCTGGTAGCTTTCCAAACAAAAACATTACAGAAACTATTTTTCCTTTGAAACAATATAAACTTTTTGGTCTTCAATACAAGTGACAGATTTAAAGAGACTTAACAACTTACAGGGACTTCCCTGGTGGTCCAATGATAAAAGAATCCGCCTTATAGTGCAGGGGACACGGGTAAGATCCCTAGTCAGGGAACTAAGATCCCACATGCCACGTGGCAACTAAGCCCACGCGCCTCAACTACTGAGCTCGCATGCTGCAAGCTACAGAGCCCACACACCCTGACACCTGCACACCACAACTAGAGAGAAAACCCGCATGCCACAACTAGAGAGGAGCCCACGTGCTGCAACAAAAGATCCCGTATGTCGCAACTAAGACCTGATGCAGCCAAAAAAATCAATCAATCAATCAATCAAAACAAACCCAAAATACAACAGCAATTTCAACTAAAAATTGGTATGCAGGGTTCAAAAATACCCTGACAGTTTATTATGAGTGGATAATTATGTCCTGTATCACCACTTCCTTACATGAACTCTTGAAATCTGTAAGTTAAAAGTACTTGATGAATTGAATTCTCAGTAAGTCCTTTTAAATGCAAAAATTTGGCAAATTTTCGAATTAGGTGAAAAAACAATGATTTCAAATAGAAAAGATTCAATTCCTACCTGCCACAGCACCAAATGCCAGAGAGCCACTCATTTGCAAAGCCTGCTGTGCTGCTGGTGGGATCTGCAAGCCTGTACCTGTAAAAGAATAGGTCTTAACGTCCCTGCTTTAAGAGTGGGAAAATCCTAGTTTTCTGGTTGCTTAATACGGAAGTCACTTCATTAAAACAAATTACAGTGGTCTTTGGTAGCAGGGCAGGTGAGATTTCCCAGGATCTCCTCGGGTATCAAAATCCACAAATGCTCAAGTCCCTCATATAAAGTGGCGTGATACAGTCTGCCCTCCGTACTCAGATGCAGAACTCACAGATATGGGAGGCCAACTGTACAGGCAGGACATAGTATTAAGCACTGCAAATAAATTTATTCTGAAGTATGAGGATATAATAGAAAGCAAAAGAAATCCTGTAACATATGCTGTGGTACTCAAAAAGCACCATCATAAAGTAGATTCCATTATAATTAAGGCAATGAATTTCACCTATGAAACCACATGTGCCGCCCAAGGATAACAGTCAACACCAAAATAAGAAAAAATAATTTTCCATTTATTTGTCTGCATGGTTACCTTTCTCATTACGGTATCAACAAATCATTCACAACACTAGGATAAACTTACCCTCTGCGAGTCTAGCCATTAACTGGAGACGACCAGTTGTTCCCAAGTCAATTCCGGTCCTTTCCAGTTCATCACTGTCCAAAAATGAGCTAGCACTGGAAGCATCAGTACGTTCAGTAACATGACCAACTTTCATCGGCCTTCCTGCTAGCTCAAATCCATTAAGTTGTTCCAAAGCTTTCTTGGCACATTCTGAATCAGAAAACTATACAATTGAGAGGGGGATAAAAAGTCCAGCAATTATTTACATATGCAAGGTAAAGAAACCCTTACTTATTAAAGCTAGTATATTCAATAATTACATCTGCAAGGATGATAAAGTAACAAGTTCAAGCTATAAGTAATATAACCTAAATTATCAGACCACCAACGTTTACGCATATTAGATTTATTAATGTGGTGGTTTAAAGGGCAAGACATTATCAAGTAATGACACCTGTCTTTGGGAATAAAGAATCTCAGTAACAAAATGTGAAAACAAAATGTGATGTTTTTCAAACATCAAAACCCTTTTTAATATGCTGGAATAAATTAAAATGTTGCTTCTTTTCTCTCTTAAAAGTACACTATTCAGGAAAATTAAAAGTTCAACTCGGGCTTCCCTCGTGGTCCAGTGGTTAAGACTCTGCACTTCCACTGCAGGGGCATGGGTTCCATCCCTGGTCAGGGAACTAAGATCCCACATACCACAATGCAGTCAAAATAAATAAATAAAAAAGAAAAAGAAAAAAAGTTCAACTCAGGTTTTTAATACAAAACTTAATTTTTAATACAAAATTCTGAGTCATTGTTTTATTGCCAGTTAAGTATTAGTCTTAATTTCAGGATGCAGACACAATAAAACTTTAATTCACACAATCTGGTTTTAATATAATGGAAGAACGGGCTATATTCTAATTCCACAGCTTCATCTTTCATCAGAATGTTGAATTGTTTAAAAATAATTTTTTTCCATTATTGAGATGGGAACAATTACAGATAGTAGTTACAAAATATAAAAACATTTACACACACAACAGAACCATGTAGATTTACATGATCTTGCTTTAAAAAATATATTTCTTTATTTATTTGACTGCACCAAGCCTTAGTTGTGGTAGGCGGGATCTTCGTTGCCACATGCAGGAGCTTCGTTGTAGTATGCGCACTCTTAGTTGTGGCATGTGGGCTCTAGTTCCCTGACCAGGGATCAAACCCTGGGGCCCCTGCATTGGGAGCTCGGAGTCTTAGCCACTGGACCACCAGGAAAGTCCCTACATAATCTAGCTTTGCATACAAATCAGTAAATCATAGGAAATAGTTCATACTTGATTTATGTTAAAAAATTAAAATGCTCTGCAAAATGTCTTCATTGTTTACATGACGTTTAGTAGTGTTCTAGTGAAAATATGGCCAGTGAGCAAATATTCAAGCACTAAATCTAGAACATAGAACACTAAATACTTTAGACAGTAGGAGAAAATATTTGTAAGTTGCATGTAAAATCCCTTGAACACCTTTTTTTGGGGGGAAGGGGAGATCATGCTAATGTTACTAGTAACAAATTAGCATGTTGGTGTTTTATAACTTTTTTCTTTTCACCAACACACACTGAGGTAGATAAAATCCCACTGAACGGTGGAACGTATTATCACTACAGAATAGGTTTCAATTTTATCTAAATTTGGTTATAAGACACAATTGTAATTTCTTGATAAAATCTGGGATCTCTATATTTTTAAAATTTTTTTGTGTATAATGGCAGCAATGGTGACAACTATCTGTATTTTAAACTAAAAATGTGTTTCCAGCACTTTCCAAGGTTAAAAAATAATTTGAAAAACTGTTCTCATGTAACTGGATTGCATCATGAACATTAATATTTACTTTTAAAAGGGCACCTCCATTCACAATTATTCACAATTATTCCAAGCTGCCACTTCATACCCTATTCAGGCACTGGGCTTCAACGGTCAGCTACAAACACTTTTAATAAGGCAATCCTGGTCATGGTTGTCCGACGTGTCCATATAAAAAGTAAGAGAATTCCAAGAGACCTTTATGCAACTAACATCCTGTGTCACAAAAGAGACTGAAGAAATCCTAAAGGAGTGAATGACTTCAATTACATGAACAGTTGGCTAACCAAACTGACCATAAACAGAATGATAGCAAACTGCTTTAAGTTTCACATTTGGTGGACACCTTTAGCTACTAAGAATTGGCTACTAACAGCAAAATAAGTTAAACCACTTGAAAATATTAACCTTACCTCCTTCCCCACTATCAATAACCAATAAAGCTTTACACTACGCTATTCAAATCAAAAACTTTTAAGTCATGTTAATCATGGTTAATTGCTTACCGTAATAAATCCATAACCCTTGGATCGACCTGTTTCACTGTCCATCATGAGCTGGATACTTTCAATCTAAAAATGAAAACCACAATTATTATTTATATAAATGAAAAAGGGGTGCAAAAGTATTTTACCCCTTGAAACATGATTTTAAAATGGCTCCCCCTAAAACATAATAGAAAACATATCACAATCCCTCATACCCAAAAAATCTTTCTAGAGGCCGAGGAACTTCCTAAACACGAAGTTATGCACTGGGAAGTCTTTTGCATCAAAACCCACTAAAAATCTTAAATCCTTTGCAGAATACAATGTTAAAAACTAAATCAATCTTTTTTCTTCCCCTTTGCTAAAATACACCAAATGTTAATTCTCAATTATGCCAGACACAATAAATTGCCTGAAATGTTGGAATAACTAAGAACAATGGGATGTGGTTGATGGTTGCACAACACTGTGAATATGCTACAAAGCAATGATTGTTCACCTTAACTGAGGGAACTGTATTTACTACATCACAATATCCCAACAAACTCGGTCATACAAAGGAAGCATGAACAATTAAAAAACAGCACCCACATATTATATTTCATGTTCTGGTTGTTTCAAGAACGTATTCATTTTGTAATGACTGACCAACTCATACAATTATGATTTGTGCACCATTAATATGTGTATATTTCCAATAAATATAAAGCACCCACAAAATACAACACCCCAACTTTATCATTATTGACACATAAAACAGTTTAACAAAGGGGTTGAGTGGGGTAGTGAAAGAAAACAACGAAATGTGTATCCAAGGGCCATAAAGATTAAGTAGTGGACAAGGTACGACAGGAACCAAGCTTTTTATTCATGGCCACACAATGAATTTTTTAAACCAGAGCACAGCCTACTAGTAACATTTATTCTAACATCTCTTCTAAAATGAGGAGAATTAGACTTACCCTGGTGATTCTTTTGAAAAAAATGCATAAAAAAATCAAATTACTATGTTGTGTACCAGGAACTATTAGTGTTGCAATTCAACTGTACTTCAAAAACAGACTCATGGAAAAAAAGATCAGATTTGTGGCTAACAGAGAGGTGAGGGGTCGGGGGTGGAGGGCGGAGGGAAGAGTTAGATGAAAGTAGTCTAAAGGTACAAACTTCCAGTTATAAATCAGTACTAGGGATGTAGTGTATCACCACACTGCTGTATACCATAAATTAAGGCTCAAGAGTAAATCCTAAACGTTCTCGTCACAAAGGAAAAAAATTTGTTATCTATTTCTTTAATGTATCTGTATGAGATGACAGATGTTCACTAAACCTACTGTAATAATTTCATGATGCATGTAAGTTTAATCACTATGTTGTACACCTTAAGCTTAGACAATGCTGTGTCAATTTTATCTCAATAAAAAAAAAAAAAAAGAAAAACCTTTTCCTCAGCTTCCGCTAAGGTGCTCAGTCCTTCCGAGGAAGCTAAGGCCGCGTTGGGGTGAGGCCCTCACTTCATCCAGCAACTAGCACCGTGCCCGGCAGACCCTGCCTAGCCCTCGCCCGCACCGTCTCGGAGCTCGCCTACATCTACTCGGCCCTCATCCTACACGACGATGAGGTGACAGTCACGGAGGATAAGATCAATGCCCTCATTAAAGCAGCCGATGTAAATGTTGAACCTTTCTGGCCAGGCTTGTTTGCAAAGGCTTTGGCCAATGTCAACATCAGGAGCCTCATCTGCAATGTGGGGGCAGGTGGACCTGCCCCAGCAGCTGGTGCTACACCAGCAGGAGGTCCTGCCCCCTCCACCACTGCTGCCCCAGCTGAGAAGAAAGTGGAAGCAAAGAAAGAGAAATCTGAAGAGTCTGATGATGACATGAGCTTTGGTCTTTTTGACTAAACCTCTTTAGTAGCACGTTCAATAAAAAGCTGAGTTCTTAAAAAAAAAAAAAAAAAAAAAGAGGACTAAATGGGCATAAACAGTCTAATTCTAATTCCTTACATATTAAGTACAGAGAAGCTTATATACCCTTAAATTTTCAGTAAGAAATACTATCCTAAGAAACAAACCAAGAAAAAAAAATCTCTTGCTCCAATGCACAGTACATTTTATCATTCAGGTCGATTTTTTAATAATTGAAGCTAATACTATGCATTTCACTGTAGCATTACAAATGTTGACAGATTCTGTCTTCAAATGCTATCTTCAGGGAAACTATCTTGATCTAAGTTGTCTCAAAAACTTTATAGAACCACTCCAATCCTAACATTAATCTCTTAGAAACATGACAAAGCAAATAAATTACTGTGCAGTTACATTTGTTTCAAGATTTAGGATCCACTAAAAAACTTGGGACTTACCCTTCCAAAAGGCTCAAAGATCCCCCGAAGCATATCTTCAGTTATGTTAAAGTGTAACGAGCCCACATAGAGCCTCATAGGTCCAGCACTTCCCTTTTGTAGATTGTTTGCCATCGCTGCAGCTCTGTTTTTTTCTGCCTACAAGTTAGTTAAGACAACACATAAGGCACATCACACATCCACTTAAGAATGAATAAATACCATTTTGAGCAGAGTAGCAAATCCCACTCATACCTTAGGTTTGCTTAATGACAACTGATATCAAATTATGCTAAGTGTAAGTCATACATAAAAGAATATTGGGGACTTCCCTGGTGGCGCAGTGGTTAAGAATCCGCCTGCCAATGCAGGGAACACGGGTTCGAGCCCTGGTCCAGGAAGATCCCACATGCCACGGAGCAGCTAAGCCCATGCGCCACAACTACTGAGCCACTGCTCTAGAGCCTGCGAGCCATAACTACTGAGCCCACGTGCCACAACTGCTGAAGCCGGAGCACCTAGAGCCTGTGCTCCGCAACAAGAGAACCCACCGCAATGAGAAGCCCGCGCACCACAACCAAGAGTAGCCTCCGCTCACCGCAACTAGAGAAAGCCTGCACACAGCAACAAAGACCCAATGCAGCCAAAATTAAATAATAAAATTTTTTAAAAAATTAAAAAAAACCCTACATTATGCCAGTCTAAAGCAGCATCCTGGTAACAGATATGCCAAATGTGGAAATACAAGATTATCTCCTGGAAGTGTTAAATACACTCATTATTCATGTGCTCTCAATATCACTGTTACTCAACGTACAGTACACCAACTGGCTGTCCATCTTAAAAGGATTAACATCAATATAAATCAAACCAAGTAAACCATTCAGTTCAGCAGTCATTTTTTCCCATACCAAGTACTTCTCAAAGGAAACAGTTCTCAATTTATACTCTAACACAAACTCCTTTAACAAACTGGGGCATAATAGGAGGTTAAAGTTAAATGAATTCAAAATCTCATTTATCAATGTGATTCTTCTGAGCCCTTTGCCAGGCCAACGTACACACTACTAGGTTTGTCCTCCATCATGGGAAATGAATTGAGCAATGATTCCCCCCAGCCTGCTTCCTAACAATTCTTTTCTTACTGTGACATATGATCAAATGATAAGTACCCAATATTACATACTGCTAAAACACTATGTAGGACCTACCATCGTCTTTTAGAGATAGAAGGTAGTAATCTGACCACAGTTACAGCTTAACAGTGAAACTGGAATTTCACTTAAGATCTGGTTACAAATTTTGTGCCTAACTACAAAATGATGTAAAAGCTTGATGAGTAACCAGATTTTTCAGCAGTTGTAAGGAGTATTTGTTTCAGGGGTTTGAAAAGGCACGAACATAACAACTGTTATTTTGTATCGCTCAAAAAATATTCTTTAAATCCTCAGGAATTCCCTGGCAGTCCAGTGGTTAGAACTCGGCGCTTTTGCCACTGCCATGGCCCGGGTTCAACCCCTTGGGGGGGAACTAAGATCCCACAAGCCGCTCAGCAAGGCCAAAAATAAATTCTTTAAATCCTATATTCTCCATTTAAAAAATCTAAGTTATCAGGTAGTCACAGAAATCAACTTGTTTCTTAGTACAAAAAGGTACTGATGAAAAATCAAAAAACTACTTTCACGTTAATATACTCAATAAAGGGGCTTCCCTGGTGGCGCAGTGGTTGAGAGCCGATGCAGGGGACACGGGTTCGTGCCCCGGTCCGGGAAGATCCCACATGCCGCGGAGCGGCTGGGCCCATGAGCCATGGCCGCTGAGCCTGCGCGTCTGGAGCTGTGCTCCGCAACGGGAGAGGCCACAACAGTGAGAGGCCTGCGTACCACAAAAAAATATATATATATATACTCAGTAGAATGATATATCCCAATTTTTCCATACCTAAATGAACTAAAATATTAACACTAATTTCATTTTTACAAAGGCAACACTCATTTATTGTGGAGCATCAGCAAAGAGGAATTAAATTGTAATTTGGATTATCTTAAAAAACATTCTCCAAATTAGTCTGAAACATCTTACTTTCAAGAAATGCTAGAACTAACAGCTAGCTGTTCAAACTATTCTTAACATTATATAAAATCTTTCGCAAGTATGTATTTTAAAACAGTGAAAATATTAAATTTACTAAAAATGTCAAAACCATTCCATTTAAAAGATCGGAAGGGGAAAACATGTTCTTAGATGCTTCTATCCCCAAATAAGAAGTCATCACAAATCAGTAAAATTCTAGAACAAGTTCCCAAGTCTTTTCCATGAAATAAGTATTTACAACTTACATTAAAATGGAACAGGATGTTATTAAGAACACACAATTATCAAAGAAATCAAGGCAAATTTTTTTTTTAAAAAGCTACCCTGAGAACATCTGACTTATGGTAGGAAGTGGTGATTGTGTAAGGCTCAAGGCGTTACAACACAACTCTAAGAAACAAGTTTCTAACACTACCAATGATCAAATTCTTAACCAAGAAAAAAGTTACCTGTGACGCCTGTACTATGATTGGCACTCCTAAAACCCGCTGGCCAGTTAATCCTATTGCTAGAGGCACTGAGCTAACATCGACAAATTCCACATAAGCAATTCCTTTGGAACGTCTTGAATTTCTATCAGAAATCATCCTCACATCTCGAACCTAAAAAGAAAACACACACTTTAGGTTCTGTTTGTGCAACCATTCGCAGTAAGTATAATAATTTCAAAAGACAAAAGAGGCACATCAATGATATTGCAAAGCAAGCCATTAAAAAGATTTTTTTAAATAGGTAAATTTGTAGGCCCAATTCATTTATCAACATACATCAATTCCAACACTATTAACTTCCAAGTGAGGCAAAAAGAAATGGTATCAAAAATAAATTCCCTGGACTTCGTTCAGTGGCTAAGATTCTCCACTTCCAATGCAGGGGGCCAGGTTAGATTCCTGGTCAGGGAACTAGATCCCACATGCCGCAACTAAGTTTGCATGCCGCAATTAAGACCCGATGCAGCCAAAAAAAAAAAAAAAAAAATTCCCTAACTAAATTCCACCAAACAAAAAAATGTATTTAGATGTTTTCTAATTTTATCTGTCACACTGACAATTGCTAAAATGTTGTTTGCAGTTTCTACTTAAATTAGCTCTGTAAATAGGCTTAGATTACCTTTCCTACTGTGGAGAAAAACTCTTCCAAATCCCTTGGCCGAATTCTTGCTGCCAGCTGCATACAGAAAACGGTCCTTGCATCTCTTTCCTCAGGAGTCAGATTATCAATAGGCTCCCTAACAGGGGTAAAGAATATAGAATTAACTTTATAATTTATTCTTTTAAAATAACTCTTAATGCACATTTTCAGTAAACAGAATAAACTTTCCTGAAACCAGTTTGTCATTACTCCCAAGCCCATTTTAACTATGATGTATATAAAATGTCCATAAAATAATTCAGTGTGACTCAATGCCTTCAATATGATGATAATTTCTAAATGTTTCTTCTGATAGTATCTTACATTATCAGGACCAAAGTCCACTGGCCTCTCAATCTTACAAATGGTACTCTCTCCAGGATAATAAAGGGCCAATCAGAAGCCTGAGAGTTTAATGACAGTCACAAGTAATAACCCCTGAGTCCACACTAATGTTGGACTGGTCCAAATTAGTAGAAAGGATGTCTCCCCAAAAGGAAATCATAAAATAAAATTAAGTTTCATAATCACAAATGACAAACTTGAGAGTAAAACCCCAAATGATGAAAACTATTTGACTCTAAGAATTTTTTTTCACAAACTGAGATAGATACATGGAATACTGAGGCAGCTGTTTATCAGAATTAGATCAGTCTTACTAAGACTCTACAAATTCAATACCCGAAAAAATACTTGATGGTTGTAGAATACAGAGACAGGAACAATTAGCAAGTCAAAAATGAAAAGCAAGAGATTATCTAGCCGAATAACAATAGTGGGATTTAATCTACTCATGCTTACAAATAGATGGTGTACACTTCTAAATTTACAGAGGAAACTAAAAGTGCCCAAATATGTGAGAAAAGTAAAAAAGCACAAGAGATAAATTTAACTTAATGAACGTCAAGGAAAAATAACATTGTCTACTGACATTATTATAAATAATTCTACTAAGATTAAGGTTCTAAGTAAATCCTTAAAAATGTAAGCATAAACATGCTCTTCCTTAACCATGTTCTGGACATTCTCCGGAAGAACTTTACAAAACTCACGTTACATCCCCTTGAGAAATCTGCAAGTAATTTTAAACCTATTACCGTAACACAGCGGTACAAAGCTGACTATATCCAAAGAATGAGAACTAAACGGGAGTTTTCCCATGAAAGAAAACTAAATATTAAACAAAAACTCAGTATCTGTTACGAAGAGCGCCTTTAAGAACATTAAGGCTATCACTAAATCCTAGGGTTAGAATACGTCAAACAAGAAGATAGACTCAAAAGTTAAAAGGTACCTTTTAAGGGAAGCCAGAACAAAAAAACAATGCTATCATGTTAACAAAACATTCCTTGAACCAAAATGGTAGACTGGATAGATCAGTCTTATCTTTTTTTAAGAGTAAAATACCTCACAGAAACACTCAAAAACATAATATTACTACTTGAAATCAAGTCAACTCGGTTACGATTTTGGAAATTAAATACTTTTCTCAAGTTAATGGAGCCAAATGATAAAACTCATGACTATTTCAACTACTTTCCCACAAGAAGTTATTTCAATAACTTAAAATTTATTAACTCCAAAGGTGAGTCAAGGCTAAAGTTTTCTACAGCTACCATTAAAAAATTTTAGACACACTGCCAACACATGAAAGAATGCTCAACATCATTAATCATTAGAGAAATGCAAATCAAAACTACAATGAGATATCACCTCACACCAGTCAGAATGGCCATCATCAAAAAATCTAGAAACAATAAATGCTGGAGAGGGTGTGGAGAAAAGGGAACACTCTTGCACTGCTGGTGGGAACGTAAATTGATACAGCCACTATGAAAAACAGTATGGAGGTTCCTTAAAAAACTACAAATATAACTACCATACGACCCAACAATCCCACTACTGGGCATATACCTTGAGAAAACCGTAATTCAAAAGGAGTCATGTACCACAATGTTCATTGCAGCTCTATTTACAATAGCCAGGAGATGGAAACAACCTAAGCGTCCATCATCAGATTAATGGATAAAGAAGATGTGGCACATACATACAAGAGAATATACTCAGCCATAAAAAGAAACGAAATTGAGTTATTTGTAGTGAGGTGGATGGACCTAGAGTCTGTCATACAGAGTGAAGTCAGAAAAAGAAAAACAAATACCGTATGCTAACACATATATATGGAATCTAAGGAAAAAAAAAAGGTCACAAAGAACCTAAGGGTAAGACGGGAATAAAGACACAGACCTACTAAAGAATGGACTTGAGGATATGGGGAGGGGGAAGGGTAAGCTGTGACAAAGTGAGAGAGTGGCATGGACATATATACACTACCAAACATAAAATAGCTAGCTAGTGGGAAGCAGCTGCATGGCACAGGGAGTTCAGCTCGGTGCTTTGTGACCACATAGAGGGGTGGGATAGGGAGTGTGGGAGACGCAAAAGGGAAGAGATATGGGAACGTATGTATACGCATAACTGATTCACTTTGTTATAAAGCAGAAACTAACACACCACTGTAAAGCAATTATACTCCAATAAAGATGTTAAAAAAAATTTTTAGCTACTATAAAAGGGAAATAAAAGCACATGTAACATCTACACATTAAAGTGGAAATTTCTGCTCTGTTCTTCTCACATGCAAGTTATTGAAAACTTAGAAATTCACATTAATAATACTAGAATTGGGGGCTTCCCTAGTGGCGCAGTGGTTGAGAGTCTGCCTGCCGATGCAGGGGACACGGGTTCGTGCCCTGGTCCGGGAAGATCCCACATGCCGCCGAGCGGCCAGGCCCGTGAGCCATGGCCGCTGAGCCTGCGCATCCGGAGCCTGTGCTCCGCAACGGGAGAGGCCACAACAGTGAGAGGCCCGCGTACCGCAAAAAAAAAAAAAAAAGAAAAAAGAAAAAAAAGAAAAATAGTAATAATAACACTAGAATTGGACTTCCCTGGTGGCGCAGTGGTTAAGAATCCGCCTGCCAATGCAGGGGACATGGGTTTGAGCCCTGGTCTGGGAAGATCCCACATGCTGCAGAGCAACTAAGCCCGTGCGCCACAACTACTGAGCCTGCGCTCTAGAGCCCGTGAGCCACAACTACTGAAGCCCTCACGCCTAGAGGCCGTGCTCCGCAACGAGAGGCCACCGTGATGAGAAGCCCGTGCACCACAACGAAGAGTAGCCCCCGCTTGTCCCCACCAGAGAAAGCCCGCGTGCAGCAATGAAGACCCAACTCAGCCAAAACTAAATAAATCTTTTAAAAATTAATAATACTATAACTGCAAAATGAATCAAGATTTAATATGATCCAAATTACTATTTGTCATTAAATTTAGCAGTAACATAAGTTGTAAAAACTTTATAAAAGCTAAAAGTACAAAACAAAAGAAATAGGGACAACAGTTACCTCACTGGGCTCTTGTCTTTTCTGAATGGACTTTTGCTTCGGGAGCGTCGTCTGCTGCAAGTTAAAAAGTTTCAAAAGTTACCCAAACAAGTACACCACGTTAGTTCCTTGAAAAACAATTTAAACAATTCAGAAGTATGTTTAAAAACCTTAATTTGATGCTATGAGGCAACCCAATCTTTCCTCGGATGGCACTGTTAAATTTTGGTCCGGAGCTAAAAAGGAAACACAAAATTACACTAGTTACAGGGTTAGGGTCTTGCTAAGATCGCGTTCATGCGCTCTCCAGCAAGTTTAACATTGTTTAGGCTGCTTGTTTTCCACCTCAATTATGAAGAGGAAATAAAGAGACTTTTTCTTCTCTTAACTCTATCCCAGGCAAACTGCTCTTACAGTTATCCATCCTGGACCACTGAGAGGTGCCAAGACCAAAGGTTACAGCCTCAAGATTTTTAATATTCTGAAAATGCTCAATTTTCAGTCTAGTTCTCTTGAACTACATATTTATGAATACGTTCCTGAGATTTAGGGGGAAAAAAAAGACACAAAGTGAAAATTATCCTGAACTTCCCTCACACCAGGACTAACTATAATTAACAATTTGGTGTGCATCTTTGCAGATCCTTCCTAAGGAATATACATGTGCTCATATATACATACATATACAATATTCATGTATGTCTTCTTGTTTGAGGAACTCTTTTTTTATTTTTATTTTTTCAGGCCACACCGCATGGCTTGTGGGATCTTAGTTCCTCAACCAGGGACTGAACCCAGGCCCCAGGCAGTGAAAACGCAGAGTCCTAACCAGGGAATTCCCTTGAGGAGTTTCTTTTAAAATATAAAGGAACTAATTCTTTCCATAATCATGAAACTCCCAACTTTTTCATTTAACAGTAAGTCTCCAAGACTGCATATAAGCATATGTAGCATGTCACACACCTCAGTTCTTTTCGACAAAATAGTCCATGGTAAAGATGTGAAGGAAGGAAGTTCATCAATCCCTCAGGAAAATTCTTTTTTCGGGACTTGATATTATTAAAGGAGTGTTTTCGAAAAAGATCACAACAGTAACTTTTTAAAAAGCTTTATTCTGTAGTCTACAATATTCTAAAATGGCCCAGTAGTTTATGGCCCTTTTATTTTGAAAGACCAAACTAAGTTAAAAGGTCAGATCAGATGTCCCTTAGTGCTCATCCTGCTATCCTTTACCAGATGGGTAGCAAAATGAAAATATATAGTGGTCTTCAATCCACATTTGGATTTGTTTTCATGGACTCTACGTGCACGTATAACACCCAAGCAGTTCCAAATAAAATTGTATTAAATGGGTCCTTTGCAAAGCACACTAAAAGTGATCATTAAGAATATATATTTACTGGACAAATAAGAGTCTATAAGCTATTTCCTTTCCCCTTCAATTATAAAAGTTTCAGTTACTGCCTTGGTAGTTAAAAATCACCTGAAACCAAACATAAGAACCAAGTGAGTTTAAGTCAGACCAGAATCACAGGCTGACTTGAAGTATTCATCACTGATCAGAGATAATAATATTCAGAATTTATTAAAGCAATCCTTCCCCCCTATTTAGTTCATTCTGGTAAAAAAGAATGCAGTAAATTTTGATCAATTGGACAAAAAGCAAAATATTTTCTAATAAAGCACTCAGACGTAAAATAACATTGTGGTCCTTTTTAAGCTGTTAAAAAGTTTATAAAATAGTCAGCTAAGAGGACCTTAGAGAACAAGGAGTGGAATCCTTTTTATTGAAAAACCTGAATCAGAACTCCAAGTATTACTAACTTTATTGGCTTCAAATAATAACAAAACATTTCATCAATAACAGTATTGTGGGTGCTCTAATTTACATTCTCTTCTCATTGAAGACTCAATAGCCTGTCAGTGGTTACCTCCTTCTTAAAAGATGAGAAAACTAAAGCTTAAGAATGTTTCTTAGAGTGTTTAACCAATTTAAAGAGCCAAGGCTCTGATTCAGGACTGTTGTCTTTGAATTCAATCTTAATCCATTCAAGTTTTAACGTTAAAACTGTTAATTTTAACGTATCCCACAGTTTACAACAGTATATTTACTAACAGGAAAGACCATCATAAATCACTAGGGATTGTTAGACTGAACTGCTTAAAGAGTTGCAAGAAGGCTCTTTCCAAAGTCATTAATACATTTTAGCTTTTTAAAAATTACTATTAACGAAAACATTTCCAACATGTTTAACCACATCAGAATTTCCATAGTGATTCAACCTTCAAAAGCAGTTTTAGTGCGTTCTTACTATTAAAACACCTTAAATACAAAGATGTGTGATCATTATCAAGAAGCATGCACTAAATTCACAACTGGTCTGTCATTTCAGCTGAAAACAGCCACACAGACAAGATTGTTAACTATGTATTTGACTGACTATACATATTTGCAATTTGTATCCATCTGAGCTTTAAAAACTTTATGTTCAGTAAAGGATACTGTGATAGCTCACAAACCTTTAAGCTTTCACATATTTGGCACTACAATATCAAATCTTTTTTTTAAAAGCACTTTAGTGCTTTAGTTTGAATTGGCACACAGTAATATTTTTAGATGGAGTAACAGAAAATGTTCTGCATGCCTAGTAAAACAAACATGTATCTGTCCACACAATGCATTTCTACTGGACTTTTCAATGCCAAAATCCTTATTTAATACTTTTTAACTAATCATATTGAAAAATAAAATTCCACAATTCAAGTCACTCCTGTTACGCTGCTATCTGTAGACCCAGAAAAATCTCTCAAACCAATATGATCATAATTATAGTTACATACTAAGGACTTCTGTAACGGCCTCTGAATCTGCGATCTCGACTTCTTGAACGGCTCCGTCTCCTTTCTTTGCTTCTACTCCGCTTCCTTTCACGGCTTTTGCTCTTTTTCCTTTCTCTATCTCTACTGCGCTTCCGTTCCTTACTTTTGCTTCTTTTTCGTTCATGACTACGACTTCTGCTCTTGCTTTTTTTCCTCCTGAGAAAAAAAAAGTCACCATTATCTTGCTGATTTAAGAATATGCAAAAAATATACTTCCTTTTATGGTCAGATATATTTTGCTATTTTTACTATCATACAATGACACATAATCACTTATGGAAAAATAATTCCTAGGTAAGGCAAACAACACCCCAGCTTTGCCTTCTACTACTGAAAATCAGCAGCCAGTTGACAATGAATCATTTGAGTGAGAGGGACTATAATGACCTTTCTTGAGAGTCAGCTAAAGCTTTAACAAGGAGAGAACTTATTGGTAGGTATAAATCAAAACCTGAACTTTTAAATTTTTTTTTTTTTTGGCCATGCTGCACAGCATGCAGGATATATCTTAACCCTGACCAAGGATCGAACCCCATGCCCCCTGCAGTGGCAGCACAGAGTCACAAACCACTGGAGTACCAGGGAAGTCCCGTGAACTTTATTTAAAAGTTCTATCATATCTGGCCAACTAAGTATAACTGTAATCCAAAACATACAGTAATAGAATCAAAGTTATAATAGAATACTTTAAGTATTAGTGTTGGATCATATAAAAAAGTTGCCATTAAATACACTAATTTCTCTTAAGTAAGCCAATTTTGACCCAATTTGCACATATTAATATTACATACTTTCAAAGGGCCATACAGGCATCACTATTTCGGTTTTTATGGGCAAAATTATTGCAAATAATGACAAAGGACAATAAAACTAATGCCGTAAAATGCAATCTGACACTCCCAGACTTCAATGTGACCACTTCAGATACTTTCTTTTTCAAGTTACAATGAGTACACCAGATATTGAAATATGCCATCTTTATGCCAGTTTATACAAGCCTGTAGGGTACAACCAAAAGGAAGAATCAACACCTTTATAAATCTTTATAAATTCTCAAGCTCTGAAAGGTAAAAAAGCCAGTCAGTCATGTATCTTCCTGTTCATTTCTGTATTCCTCACAGCATACCACCCACTCAATTCCATAATTTTTATAATCTGTACCTCTGTCATCACCCAAATTTTAGAGGTGCCTTCAGATATTTCAATATAAATTGAAAGACATTTCAAATTAAACTTATCCACTTAAATGTCATTTTGTAGTGGCTAAAAGATTATGAAACATTTTGACAACTACATCATTTGGAAATTGAATTAACTGTTTAGTCCTTATCAAAGCAAAGTTAGCACAAGAGCAATTGAAGTCTGCCTCAGAGAACCTGTAAGCAGGTCATCTTAGAGTGCATTGAAAATAGAAAATGAAGACACCCACCTTCTGGAATCTTGAAACCCACACTCCAATCACAAGGAGATGTAGAGCTTTCCAAGGAGGCAGAAACTTTGTCTAAAATTTCAAGATAATCCACCTGACTGTCAGAAATGTATATGCTAGGTAGCACATGACAGAAAATTAGGCTACACTCATTACTTATACAGAAGTCATCAAAGCAATGCCCAGAAGGGCAACAGATAACATTCCAACTTGGTTGCCTAAAAACCTGCAACTATCTCTTAGACTAAAGAATTCTGAGATAGCTATAATCAAAAATCCTAAATATTATCAATTAGGGGACAAAGTAAAAACTCCATCCCCCACAAAAAGGACAAATAAAATTTTGCTCTGCTTATAATGGCCCATTGCAGAGAGGCAGCCAACCTCCCAAATTACCTCTTTTTAGGCCCAAAGTTTATTGCGCCAAAGGAAAGGACTCAAAAATTGGAGAGCTAATTTCAACTTAAGGTCTTCCTAGGACTTTTTATAAATGAGTCCCCACCCACATCTGAAGGCAACCCCAGACAGGTAAAAAGACAGCAACATACTAAGACATTCAGAAATATAATCCTCTTTATAAAGCCCAGACAAAAATTTAAGGGTGCAAGAAAGCAGTGTACTTCTCTATAACAAGATGAAGCTTCAAAGAACATTTATTAAGTTAACTAAAGAAGGGTTATCAAAATCCACACTAATAGTCAAATCCTGTTACAACTTAAAAGGGACTTTCCAAAGTCTTTAGTGGCAGTGGAATTTTGTACTGAACATCATTGAAGTAAATGGTCCACTGGGCTGGGCCTTTGGACTTTTTGGTTATATGGCCTCTGCTGTAAAGGTGTTTTGCTATAACTGGATTTGACCTCTTCCATGTAAGAAGATCTAAATTTTAAATGCAAAGTACTCTGGAAAATAAGAAAAAAAATAGAAAAGTCATTTATTCCAAAATTTATAGATAATCCACACCACAGTAGCCAATATATTTCAACTGTGTCATTTATTGTTTTTTATCCTTTTTTGAGAAATTCCAAAAGAGCTTAACTGAATGGATGCTGGTTGCGACTTTGCAAAACTGGTTATACTAACAAATAATACTCCCATGAAGGCAAGCGCGGGTACTTAAAAAGGCATACTTTGAGGTCTTGCCAAGCTCAGGAGTATAGCTTTTCAGAAAGAAGGCTAATAGACAACCAATTTGCGTTAATATTAAACTTAGTTCCTTTTACTATTACCTGAAATCAATTGAGTGTATGTACTGAGAATTACTATTTTTTAAAAGAAAACATGTACTAGTCAACTCTCAATTTCTCATAATGTGCATTTTCTTACTACCTTAAAACTACATCCCAATACTCAATGGCTTTTAAAAAAACAATGAAGTTTTAGGATGAAAAATGCACATGGCACGTTCCTTTGGTTAAGAGACCTAATTTATACTAAAAACTAATACACAAGAACATTCTGCTTGTTTTATAATTTATGCCTAAATACAAAAATTATTTTCTAGGTAACTTTTAAATTAATTTGAAAGATTAATTCCCTTCAGAAAAAAAATGGGTGAACAGTTACTGACTGACCAAGGGAGTCATTTATTTTATCAGCTTTAACTGAGAATGAGGAGAATGAGAAGTCTGACAAGAGAAATAATATGTACATTTAAAAAGAAACTAGATGATAGCTGTAGTTTTGAAAAGGTTCTTCCCTTAAACAAAGAATCCTATGGCCAATTAAATTGTCCATTCTTCTATTTAGTCCCACTGGACTCTTTACATTATATATATAAACACCACTAAGTAAGCACCAGTCATTGAGAGCTTAATGCTAAACTTCCTTGTAAAAGACTGGTAGTCTTAATGAGCTTAGTTGTAGGATGATTAACAAATATAAACTGGAGATGGTATTAGTAGCAAGAAATGACATGTAAGAATGGTACAACAAAGAAGGCATGTGCCCTATAGTGTAGGTCCTCATTCTTTTGGCACTTAAGAGTGAGATCTTTATCCATCCACTTGGCCTGATATCTAGAGACTGAATAATTTCAATTTATATGGTTACCCCTTCCTGGGTTTTCTTTTGATTACAGAATTGCAAATCACAACGATTAATTAGGAAACTTACTTTGGTAAAAGGTCTAAAATCAGAGGACATTACACCACGCAAAGATTGGTTGACTGCCTCAAATCATAACAATTCAAGACTAAACCCAACCCAATACCCCTAACATGATTAGTGAGGAGCTATAACAGACTCCCACCCAAACAGAATAAATATAGGACATGTCCTACAAATTGCATCATTTTGATCCATTACAATATTCTAGGGGTAAGAATATCGGTGTAGCAAAACCTGGACAATCCAGTCTATGTCCTCATCTATTTTATGAAATTATATTAACCTACCTTACAAACCTATCCTACCTTGTGAGGATATTGAGGTAGTATATTATGAAGCACTTAGAGCTCTTAGAAGGAAGCACCAAAAAGAACCAAATAAGTGGCTTATTCTACATCACTTTTCATTATGCATTATGGGGTCATAAACATGACAGAACGTTTGAATATGACATCACGAAGGCTAATAAAACGTCTTAATGCTTATAATACAGAGCACGTGATGTTAAGACTCAAATGATTTTAGAGCTGAAGGAAAACTCCAAGAACAGGATCAAATTTTATAAAGCACACCTATTTAGACTTCTTGTATACCATACTCTGTACTAGTCTGTATCAGAGTTCCTATTAAGGGTTACTTCTTTAACCTAAATGACACGCATAAATATTCATAGCTTTTTGAAACTCCATTCTCACTATTAAGTCTGTCAGAGTTTAAAAAGCTTAAGAGGACGAAAGCCATGTAAGAGGAACATTAAGAAGTACTTAAGTGTGCTATAACATTACTACAAAAAGAACCTTTAGGAGCATCAAGGAGCATAAATAATTCACAGCTCTGACTCTTTCAGTAATTTAGGACAAACAATACTTCTCCACAGCCTGGTTATTACCTTCTTCTTTCTAACTATCTTCAGTGGATATAACAGTTTTACTGATAACATTGATAAAATAATATTAAACCAAAGTTAATAAATTTAAGACAAAAGACAAGCTCTAACACTAGAACTCTTATGCAGATTGTCATGGATGGACTTGGAGGGGAAGGTGTCCAAAAAGTTCCTGACACCAATTCCTGAAATTAAGGGAAGAGTCCACAGTTTTACATCCTCAAATAGTGTCTCATCCCAGAAAGTAAAGAACCTACTTTTCTAAAAAAGGCAAAGAAACCCTTCAGGAGAGAACCTTGGGTTTGATGCTTTAGCCACAGGAATACAACTTAAAAAATCAATCACATATAGCTCCCCCCAACCCAAGTCCCTTCTTAAAACTTACTTTTTGCTACGTTCTTCATGGCCGTTGGCACTGCTCAACTTGTTCTCATCCTAAGCAGGGTTGATAGAAGAACATCATGAGGACGAAGTGGTAACATTTCAAGTTGTCAAAGGGTAAAGGGAATAGGAATAAGAAAATACAAAACAATTTTAAAACTAATTACTTATTTACAGTTTAACATGGAAGGCTATAAAAAAATTTAGATGGATATGTGTTTAACCACTTTGTTGCTTACAAATTAAGTCATCAAGATACAAAAATAAAAATGCATATTAACACGTCAAATTTTATTTTCTTACATAGTTAGATAGTAAGTTATCCAGATTTACAGTGTTGAAGTGGTTAAATAGAATTTCTATAAAACATGAATGAAGTCCTGTTGCGTTTTATTCCATGTGCTATGGCCCCTTTGGTCAGTACCATGGCTCTATTTCTGCCTAAGCCCCATGTGGCCATGCTAGCAGCCAGCCACTATCGATTTCCTGTGACCGATGCCATTCCTGAGATCTTCGCCCATTTCCGTTGGAGGGTTGGGACTGTAAGAGCTTGATGCCACCTCTGTCACACATCTCGCCCTGAAGCAAACAGGGATTCACACTGCTTTAGTAATGTTGACTCCCAAGAACCCAAGAAAGTCAATTAATAATCGACCAGTCCTACTTCCATACCTGTTTACATGGAATTACATCCATGTTAAACTAAGACAGAATCTTAACATTAAAATAGAAAGTAGCGCTTCAAGAGTCTAAGCATTACAAAACTACATACACTATTCAAAGCTTTAAAGAATTCATCCAAATTGGTACCACATGGTCGAGCTATACACTCCAAAAACAAATGTATTATTTTTAAAAGGTTTAGCGCAATGTTTATTTTAAAGTTTGATCACATCAGTTATAGGAGTATAAGTGCTAATTTACAAAGCTTACAGTTTGTGACATCAGTGATAACGCATGCATACTGCTATTTTCACCACCAACTGGTGAAAGAATGAAAAGACACTTTTATTGTGATACTGAAATGGGTCAAAGACTGTATTATTAGTCAAAATAACTCCTTTGTAGTTTTGTGTGTGAAATATGACAGGGACTAATTAAAAATAAAACAATATGGAGAACAGTTAAAACAGTCATCAAGTGACTCAAGTTGTGATATTGCCTCTTTTGCTTTAAGAATTTGTTTTATTCAGGGATCCAAGAATTTTGGTAATTTTTAACTGAGCAGATCATCACCTGCCTGTTTTAATATTGACTATTACCAGTCTCATGTATAGGATAAATTTTTAAATCTCACCCATTTCTTCTTGTAAGACTTGTCTTATTTAAAGATTTGCTTGCCACAGACTGGTTAAGCTGTGTTATTCTTGGACCCCTGCTGCTTTCCCAAACCACTACATTCACCTTTTTGCTATACCAAACTGGAGCTGGTAATTCTTAGTTGAGTCATTTTACCTAGGGGACCACGGTACAGCGATAAGTCACTCAATTACTACCTTATGATTGACAGTTCACACTGGAATCAAAGGTGAATTCATGGGAGTAGAGGTGAGATATCGTTAGGCAAGTCTACAAAGAGAGATAGATGGGCATTTATTCATCACGCTGAAGTGAAACTACTGCACAATATTATTACATCAATAGCATATATTTACTTTTGTAAGTTACACTTAATGCATCTCTGATAAGATAAATCAAGAGGGCTCCGGGGAGGTTAGTTTACATTTCAGCAGTAGTTTCGTGAATAATGCTAAATTAAGAAATAGATAAACCTCACCGACTTGTTTTTTCTCACCTTCTTGTAAGGAGCCTCAAGCATTGCTTCAATATCAATATCGTCTGCCATTTTCTCTGAACGCCTAGGTAAAGAATAAGAATGAAAAATTCAATGAGTAAACAATTTTAAATTTTGCTAAATTTCCTTCTTACCGGACATATTCCAAAACTTCCGAGACGCCCCACAAAACGACTAAGGTGGGACGACGCACTTTAGTAGGCTTGACAATTAAACCTGAAATGTCCCCAAGACCGAACACGCTAAAGCAGATTAAGTATCCGATTTTTAAAAAGCCTGTAATGCCTCAAAAAACAACCCGAGAGCATCGAACGAAAGCTCCTCTTTCCGCGCAAAAACCCGCGCTGCCATTTTAGGGGCAAAGGGAAACTCCCTCGGTTGGGAGGAGTTCGGTGCCAAGACAGCATTCGGCTGGCGCCATGTTGGGAGGTCGCGGTCGTCGCAGGCCTCGAAGGGACAGGTCGCCATCTGCCCGAGGCCTCTCTGGAGCCCATGCCACCCGAAAACCCTGAAATCTACCCGATCGAAAAAGAAGGGCGCGGTCTTCGAAATGAAGCCCATTTCTCGAAAGCCTGCCCCCCCCACCCCGTCGCTTAAGACCGCCTAAGGAGTGCCCCTCAACCCAGAAAAGAACCACACCTCAGAAAAGCCCTGCAAATACGGGGGTCCGCGACGCCTCCTTACCTGTGCGGGCTTTCGGGGCCCCAGCGGTGCTCGTATTCGGAAAGAGGGGGGTTGCTACTGCCGCCGCTGTTGCTACTGTTAAGCCGCTAGGCCCAGGCCGCAGTACCACCCGGCCCAAATTTCGGGCTCCGAGGGCGGATAGGCCCAAGAGAATCTAAAAGAAACAATGGGATTAGAGGAGCCCGCGCGGGAGTTCAGGAAGGCGGCTTCGGCAGCAGAGGATCCACCCCGGCGACAGCGTCGGCAAGCTCTCTGAAATGGCGGCCGCGGCTTCCCTGTACTAACATTCACCAACAGAGATACACACACACAAACACACGGGGCCTCACAGAGCCCTCAGCACGGGCTCTCGCGAGAAGCTGCTCTTAGTTTCAGTCCGGAGCAGCGGAAATATCGCGAGATCTAGCCATAGGGCCCAGCGACCGTGGCCTAATCTCGCGCAATGATTGCGCCACGGATATTCCCATCCCCCACTCAGAGAGGCGCTTTTGACTCCCCCCTCCAGATTGGCGTCTACATCTCGCGAGATCGCTCAAGTTGCTAGCGCAAAGACGGTTGGTACGTTTCCTGTCAATCTTCTAAAAAACTCACCGTTGAGTGGAGCATGGTGGTCACCGCCCCCTCGTGGCACCTCCCAGCGACTATCAGAAGGTTTCTCCCTCAGCGTTGACGGCTTTCCACCCCTCCCGCGAGCCTCCCGTCTAGATGTCTGTCAAGGTCGCCATAAAGCAACCTAGTCCATATGGCGATAGAATAAAACGAAGACGCTCATGTATAGATTATCCGCCGGGGTGAAGATGGAGTGAAAAGCATGTGAGAGAGAAGTCGAAAAGAGACGTACAGGCGTAGGGAGCTAAGGGTGTAGAATAAAAAATTAGATTTCTCGGCTTTGTGGAGCCGGTGGACTAGGCACTGCGGCGACTGTCGAGCTTCAAAACAGCCTTGGAAGTAGTGGAAAAAGGCAAAGTGAAGGTGAAAAAACACTGCTTCTCTTGACAGTGGACCAGCTTTGTGACCCTCGAATTTATAGTCTGGCCTTGTGTCGGGGTTGCTATTGTTTCTTCAAAAATGTCCCCCATCCCCCTGGAACTTGGCTTCTCGCCCCTGAAGTCTCCCAGATGCCTGGCAGTTAGAGTGTACATTCACCGCTTGTTCTTTGGTCTACACGGTGAAAAAGCTGAGGGCAGAGAGATCATTGACTATAAGACTTTTAATTCTAAGATAAAAATGCTTGAAAAAACTTGGAAAGATAACTTAAAAGCAACAAATCTTGAGGAAGAAAATCTTTTTTTTTTTTTTAAGGGAGAAAATCTTGAAGTCTGTTGACAGCTTAATGATTGAGGGCAAAGATTTGAAATGCCCTCAAAGATTGAGGGCAAAGATTTCAAAAGATTTGAAATGAGTGCTTCAGCACTGTGTGACCGTGGGCAAGTAAATTAACCTCTCAGAGCCTACCCTCCCTTTCCTCCTGTGAAGAGTATAGTATAATTACTTAACTTCTTGATCTTGACATAGGCCGATAATGCTCACTAGTGAATTCTCAGCGCTTAGCCACATACCCAGCCGGGTGGACACGTAATAAATGAATGAATGAATGAAAGCCTAATAGTATAGTGAGGATTGAATGAGGTAATAGCTGTAAAATGCCTGGCAAATATTTAATCCTCAAAACAGTTAACTTCTGTTATTTCTAAACAAAATTATTTAGAGGAAAGTATAGAGAGGCTTTCCATTTCGGATTAACTTTCCACTCAGGTGTTTCTTTAAGAGGGTTAATAGATTTTGCATAATTAGTAATATTCCCTTCTTTTCCTAAAAACTCAGATCCTCTTTTCATTTTTTATTTTATTATTTTTAATATTTATTTAGTTAGTTGCATCGGGTCTTAGTTGCGGCAGGCGGGCTGCTTAGTTGCAGCTTGCCGGCTTCTTAGTTGAGGCATGTGGGCTTCTTAGTTGCGGCATGCATGTGGGATCTAGTTCCCGGGCCAGAGATCAAACCCGGGCCCCCTGCATTGGGAGCACAGTCTTAACCACTGCGCCACCAGGAAAGTCCGTTTTTTAAATGTTGAAAATCACCACATTATATTGACGCATAATATATCAGAAAAGACAAACTAGCCTTTGCCTTTCTTTTCCCTTTAAGTGTTGTGACTTGTTAATTGTGCCAATATTAAAGCATAGGTGGTAGCCCCTTCTTAATTTTTTTCTTTGTTTGGGAACATGACAGAATTCGACCTTAACCTCTAGACTTCTTATTTGAGAAGAGAAAGGATTTAAGCTCTAAGTCACTTGAGTATTGAATATCCCTTAAATTGTTTTCTGTTCCAGGAATATCAGAGTGAACCTGGCAAGTGAGCACACAATCAAGAAACATCTGCTGGAAAACTCAGTCTCTAAAACAAAAGTATTTTTATATATTTAAAAGAAAATATTAAAAACATAATATGCTTTTCATTCTCTTTGCAAAACCTCTCTCGCTCTGTCTGGCTCATGGACTCATTGCCCTTTCATCATTTTGTTCTCGAGTCATTTGCAGTGATGTTCATTGGGTTAAATCATCACCAGCACCAAGAATATCATTCTATCTTAAAACTTATGAAGAGGAGACCACAGCATAACTAAGTGCCAGGGATAAGGGAGGTAACAGATAATTTTGAGAATTTGGCTGAAAATTAAATATACTTTGCCAATGTGAGTTTTTTAATGTCCACGTATGATTTTTATGGACAGGGGATGCTATTTTTCACACTTGCATTTTAAAAACTAATATTCAACTTATATAGTAAGTGCATTTTATCCAGTTTTCCTTGAGTCTTTAAGACTGACTTAGAAAATTTGTTTTATTTATGAATCTAACTAAATAAAATTTTAGAATCATCTTCACTTTTTCTGTTAATATTGAGTTAAATTCCAGTTGAATGGACTAAACTCCCTTCAAAAACTCAGTCCCATTTATGTTAGGCAAGTTTCTTCAAATTTAGTATGCTATCAATTTAACATGATGTATTATTTTTTAGTATTTTAAAACTTTCCGAAGTATGTAAACAATTCTTCTAAATCTAAAAAATTAAAATCACAAAGTGAGTTTTAAAACTTCTTAAACTATTCTAATGTAGTCTCATACCTTTCCAATTAAAATCACAAATCTCAAGTCAATTACTCAATCACACATTTTTTATTTGAATTTCTAGTATGCCAAGTTCCCTTAAACATTACAGTTTTTTTTAATTTATTTATTTTTGGCTGGGTTGGGTCTTCGTTGCTGTGTGCGGGCTTTCTCTAGTTGCGGTGAGCAGGAGCTACTCTTCACTGCGGTGGCTACTCTTCATTGCGGTGGCTACTCTTGCTGCAGAGCATGGGCTCTAGAGTGCAGGCTCAGCAGTTGTGGCACACGGGCTTAGCTGCTCCGCGACATGTGGGATCTTCCAGGACCAGGGATCGAACCCGTGTTCCCTGAATGGGCAGGTGGATTCCTAACCACTGCGCCACCAGGGAAGCTCCTAAACATTACAATTTTTTTTTTTTTTTTTTTTTTTTTTTTTGGGTTTCACGGGGCCTTTCCCCTTCTTGCCCCTCCCCTTTCGCACCGGACGCGCAGGCTCAGCAGCCATGGCTCACTGGCCCAGCCGCTCCGCAGCACGCGGGATCCTCCCGGACCGGGGCACGAACCCGTGCCCCCTGCATCGGCAGGCGGACTCTCAACCACTGTGCCACCAGGGAAGCCCTAAACATTACAATTTAAATACAGATACATACAAACTATTCTTAACCTTAATATGAAAGTTTTAAGACTTTAAACTTACCTGTATAAAAAGGACATAGAAGGGTTTTACTATTTTTGAGTTTAACATTCCAAGAGAATTCAGATATTATCTTAGCGGACCAAGGTTCCTGATTGGCCAAGTTTCTGACCTGGACCAAACACTGTGTTTGCATGGTTTCCCAGACAGATTCCAGCAATTCTCGAGCCACTGAGGGCACAATGAGATTTCCCCCCACCCCGCCCCGCCTTAAGTTTCCATAACAATGAGAAACTCTATCCCGTTTCATACTGATGGAGGTAATTTTGCCACCCATATGACTTTTGCCTGATTTGAGCAGATCAAATCATGCCCCTCCCCCCACCCCCACTTTGTGCTTGATTTTCTAATAAATCTACTTAGAGATTGAATTTGGCATTTGTTTCAAATACTTGCCTGTCTACTGGCCATAATGTCAGTGTCATTGTAGTGACATATCCAAAAGGAATTTGCATAAATTTGTAAATGGTTAGTCATTAAAAGATGAGCCGTTGCAGGGTTACATCACCAGCCACTTATTTGTCCCCCCGTCCATCCGATGAACAGAAGGATTGTGCAAGGGGCTTCCCTGGTGGCTCAGTGGCTAAGAATCTGCCTGCCAATGCAGGGGACACGAGTTTGAGCACCGGTCTGGGAAGATGCCACATGCTGCGGAGCAACTAAGCCCGTGTGCCGCAACTACTGAGCCTGTGCTCTAGAGCCCGCAAGCCACAACTACGAGCGCGTGTGCCGCAACCACTGAAGCCCGCGCCTAGAGCCTGTGCTCCGCAACAAGAGAAGCCACCGCAACGAGAAGCCCGCGCACCATAATAAAGAGTAGCCCCCACTCACCGCATCTAGAGAAATAACGGAGCAACGAAGACCCAACGCAGCCAAAAATAAATAAATAAATAAACGCTATTTCATTTATTTTTTGGCTGTGCCATGTGGCTTGCAGGATCTGTCTCCCAACCAGGGACTGAACCTGGGCCATGGCAGTGAAAGCCCGGAATCCTAACTACTAGGCCACCAGGGAACTCCTGCAAAATGTATTTATTTATTTATTTGTTTATTTATTTATTCATTTATTTTTGGCTGCATTGGGTCTTTGTTGATGAGCATGGGCTTTCTCTCGTTGTGGCAAGCAGGGGCTACTCTTTGTTGCGGTGTGTGGCCTTTTCGTTGCAGTGGCTTCTCTTGTGGAGCATGGGCTGTAGGCGTGCGGGCTTCAGTAGTTGTGGCTCGTGGGCTCAGTAGTTGTGGTGCACGGGCTTAGTTGTTCCGCGACATGTGGAATCTTCTCGGACCAGGGATAGAACCCGTGTCCCATGCATTGGCAGGCGGATTCTTAACCACTGCGCCACCAGGGAAGTCCCGCAAAACACTATTTTAGATTGAAAATAAAAATGACAGAAATTCAATAAAATATAACTTAAAATTTAAAGTACTCTTTTATCTGCCCGCGTGAGAGGGCAGTGAGAGGCCCGTGTACTGCGATGAAGAGTGGCCCCTGCTTGCCACAGCTAGAGAAAGCCCTCGCACAGAAACGAAGACCCAACACAGCCAAAAAAATAAATAAACAAATGTGGGGTTTAAAAAAAAAAGTATTTAAAATTAATACAATCATAAATAGCATGTAGGTCAAATAATAAAGCATAATTAAAATTAGAAAATATTTTTAAAATATTAAAATAAAAATAAATAAATAAAATACTCTTTTAGAGGTTTGTGGGGTTTTTTTGGATTGAGGTATAGTTGATTGATAGTATTATATTAGTTCCACATGTTCTACATATTGATTCAAAATTTTTATAGATTATACTCCATTTACAGTTATTATAACATGTTGGCTATATTTCCTGTTCTGTACAATATATCCTTGTAGCTTATTTATTTTATACATAATAGTTTGTACCTCTTAATACCCTAATCCTATCTTGCCCCTCCCCTCTTCTTTTAGAGTTCGATCTGTGAAATGTACCATTTACTGATTCATTCTCTGTTTATTTAGTACCCTCTGAATTTTTGGCACTCAGTGGACAATTTGCGAGTACCAAATAAATAAAAAACAGTCTCTTTCCTTCAAAAGTTTCTAGATTAGTTAGAGAACTCTTGAAGGAACAAAATTATGTTCAAGATAGTGTTTTGTATTAAGATTTTATGCAAGCTCAGTGCCTTGACTGTCATAGAACTAATAATAGCATGTTTATATAGCTCTTCACAGTGTATAAACCATTTTTATACATTATCCCATTTATTCCTCTAAATTTTGTTTGTTTACTTGAATTGGATGAAATAAATCGATGGGATCAGACTGGTGGAAGTGATCACAGAATTTTCTGCAAAGAGCTGATTGACATAGGTCATCAGAGCAGTTGAGGTTTGCTTTTTTTTTACATTTTACTATGAAAATTATAAAACAGAGAGGTTGAGAGAATAGAATGTATGCCTACCAATTATTTTAAATTTAACATTTTTCAATATTTGCTTTACCACGTATCTATTCATCTACCTATCCCTCTTTCCATCCTTCTATCCAGCTTAATTGTTTTTTTTTTTTTTTTTTTTTTTTTTGCAGTGCGCGGGCCTCTCACCGTCATGGCCTCTCCAGCCGCGGAGCACAGGCTCCGGACGCGCAGGCTCAGCAGCCATGGCTCACGGCCCCAGCCGCTCCGCAGCACGCAGGGTCCTCCCGGACCGGGGCACGAACCCACGTCCCCTGCATCGGCAGGCAAACCCTCAACCACTGCGCCACCAGGGAAGCCCCAGCTTAATTTTTTAATTCTTTTCAAAATTACAGACATCAGTACACATCATCCCTAAACTCTTCAGCATTGCATATTTTAAACTGAGTTTACTAGTTCACAATTCTTTTTTTTTCTTTAATGAGGTAAATTTTACATACAGTGAAATGCAAAAATCTTAATTTTACCAATATATGAGTTTTGACAAATGCATACAAATTGGGTAATATTAATTTTACTTAAAGTGAAGGAATGGCATAAGCAAGCTTAGAGGACCAGAGAAAGCAATATATTTTATTCCAAAATATTCTGATTTGACAACAAGAGACGTGGATAAAACACTGCAAATTAGGAGGCAGAGTATTGTTTTAAAACATCTGCTAACGGAAGCAAAAAGAAATGTAATCAAACATAACATTGCAGAAGTTTTCGAATTTAAGCAAATTTAGCAATGGAGAGGAAGATCCTGCTGACAAGGCATCACAAGATGGAGATATACCTTGAAAATGACGGATGAAAAACAAAAGAAGCATCAACCCACAGTGATTTTGAATGAAAAGCATGTGATTCTGTGATACGAGTGAATGAAAATGAATAGCCCAGAAAGGCAGCATCTCTGAAAGTGTGTTTCTAACAGACTCAAAAAGAATTTTTTGTTTTGGAGCAGGAAAAGATGTTCCTTAACAATCATTTTCTGGAGGAGGCCCAAAGAGACATGACTTGCACAAACATCTCCAAATAACCAGGTCCTAACTCAAGATAGAAATGAAGCATCAGAGTTGGAATATGTGCAATATGAACATGACTTGCGTGCAGTGGTTGTAAAAGAAGCAAGAGATTTTGGTAAGAATATGGAGAAAATGGAACCCTTAGACATTGCTAGTGGGAATGTAAAATGGTACAACTATTGTGGAAAATAGTTTGGCAGTTC